TGCGCCTTTTCGGGGTGCCTTTTACTCTTCTATCTGCAAAATCATGCCCATCGCCCTCACTCACATCATCAGGGCCGGGACAAGGGTGCATCTAGTGAGGCACTGGCCTCGGGAGCAAAATTTAAGGGAGCACCAAGATATTCAGTAATCGATAAAATTTTTAAATGAGATAGCTCGGAAATTCAAAGTTAATGCAAAAACTTCCATGGTGAACAAAATATGAAAATGTTAAAGCCATGATCCGACCCACAGCTTGATCACCTCGCAAATCAGCTGTGAAGTGATGACCTCCTCTCTCCGCGGCCCCGAGTCCTGTGCCTCTGCTACCTGTTATTTGGCCTTCTGTGGCAATGAGCTGGGTTTGCCTTGGATGCATGACTCCGCGGCTATGCGAGTCTGCAAAGGGGACTTTACCACCTGCGCCTCAGTGAACACAGCCCACGGCTTTGCTCATGGAGGCCCTAAGGACGTTATAGATTTTGCAGGTGACCCAAGGTAAGAATTCATCCCAGGACCCCAGGTTGTAAAGCTAGGCATTGCAGTCACCAAAACCTCACCGAAGTAAGGCACAGGAGAAAGCTGTGGTCTCTTAATTAGCGCTTATTCAGAAGTGGGTTGAATAAAGATGCTTTAAAGTAACCACAAAAGCAAGGAAGGGCCTTTGAAATTGTTTTTGCAGAAAGAGGGGTTCCTGTGCACTTGGGAACTCCCATTCTTCTGTAGCCCGCCATGAGCATTTCTTGGAATTGCAATCCAGTCTGAATTTAAAATAACGCTAGCACCTTTGATGAGGATCACACTCCTCAATTTACAGCGCATCTCCCCCTATCGTACTTCATTTAACTCCCAGCGGGAGGCCACTGCGCTTGGCGCCGGCTAAAAGCTGCTTTCAGTTGTCATCACGAGGAGCCATTGTATGCTGAATGCTATTGTTTGCTACCCTTAGGGTTAAGAGAGAGCAAATGACGTCTAGCTCCTGGCTTAGGCGATGGCCTGATTGTAGTTCAAGTTGGGACCTGGCCAGCCTAGGTCTTTGATTTCTGGATTCCTTAAAGTGTTGCCTAACTAAATGCTTCATTTTGTCTTACACAGGCTACTGAAAATGAGAAAAGAGAAAGAGTAAATGCAGATCAGGAAACTATTGTTACAATTAATGTCCCTTTTAAAATCTTTGGAAGCTTTGGGGGGTAGCCAGCCCCTCAAAAGATAAGGGGAAAATGGCATTTGTCAAAACACTTGCCCAATTCCTGGCCTGATAAGATGAATTTGATTCCCTGGAGGAGCGATGAAGTCAACATTATGGTTAACGTGATAGAGGAAGAAATTGGGGGAGCGCGGACATTGCACGCCCGTCAGGAGGGGTGCATTTCAGAGGAGCTTGGCTTTTGCGTTCCTTCCGTCTGGGGATTAGCTGTTTCGTGCTGTTGCCAGCAGAGGGCACTGTTGCAGCGTAGACTCCGTTTTGACTTCTTAGGGGGAGAATTTGCAGAGCTGTAAAAATACATGGGTCCAGTAAGAAATATGCACAAATTTCCTATGGAATTTGTGAAAAATAGATTATTATAAATAATTTTTGAATGTCTATTTGATTAGTGACCCATCGAACCATAGAAGGAAATGAAGATGTTTCATGACTGTCTTTGTTACCAAAAATTAAATTGCAAGAACAAAAGAGCAATGTGATAATATCAGCATGATATCCCTAAATTACTCAGGACACAAATAGTTAGGACTTTTCCCCTTAGGAATGTTTGTGTCAAGACCTAGTAACAAGGAATACACTTGATTTATCCTAAATACCTGCTTTTTTATTCATTACAAACATAAACACTTCCATTAATATCAAGACATTTAAACATAACTCCATCTCACCAAAGAAATCCAGCATCTGAGGCCCTCTCTGATTTGTCTCAACAGACAATAAACTCAATCCTGTTTGTACGCACAAATCCTCACAGGGTTTAGCATTAAAAAACAAAAAACAACCTCACCTTTTTCTTGATTGAAATGCTGGCAGAAAAACATCTTGAGGGCCTCCTGCCTTTGTACACTTGAGCAGTGTTAGCCACAACTCATGACCGCGGAGCTCCACCAGCTATGCTTTGTTTCTCTTTGGAGAGGATGCCGGGCATCTTAGACCCGCAAGGACTGGAAGAGCGATGTTATACTCTCAACCCAGTAGGTAAATGCATTTTGGAAAACCACCTTGAAAAGAGGTGCACTTAATTAGACTGTTATTTCTTATCCTAGCAGCTGCAAGTTTCTCTAGTTGCAGAACTGAAAGGTAACATAGGAAGTCTATTTCAGAGATTTTATTCTTTATACTAACTTGGCTCCAGAATCTTACAAAAGTGACACATTCTTAGCAAGGTCAGAGAACACAGGACGAAACTCTGACCCAAAGTGAATGTTATGGGTGGAAGTATATTCTATCATTTCAAATTCTGTTTAGTGAAGTTTCACCCACAATTATCAGTTTTTATGCTCTTGTTCGCTCCTTATTTCTTTCATAAATTTCCATCTCCTGTATGGTATAGAAAATAGTTACTAGCATTATGAGGTTGAACTGTCTCCAGGTTCAAATAATCTGGTTTCAGGTAAAGTTGCTATAAATATTTTGTTCAAATTTGGTAGAGAAAAAGAAAACTTGGAAATTGAGTCTCTTACCTTTAAAATGGTATTGGAATTTAGGCTTCATAATGTTTTAGTATTCTATTGAGTTAAAGCTAGGAAAATATTTCTTTTAAAATTATTTCCCTCCAATGATCAGCTTTTATTTAGTTGTAACTCTTCACCTTGTATTTAACCTGAAAAGGCAGTGATACATATGTGATAGGGCCTAAAATGTAGCCATGAAACATGAGATTATTCCTTCATGCACTCATGTATGCACACACACAATTTTTTTTTTTTTGAGAATGTTCAAACCTACAGAGAAATAGAAAGAATAGTGCAATGAATGCTCACCCACAAACCACCTGAATTTAACAATTGTTAACATTTTTTCATAAAATAAATTATTCATTACATAATTATGTGTATGTGCTTCAGCTTTCCCTCCAAAAAGTGAATATTTGCCTATCTATATTACCACAGTTTGAGTATTATCTCTAATAGAGTCAACAGTAATCATCTAATCTCATCTAACAGCCAACTCATTTTCACTTTCTTCTTTCAGTTGTGCCAAACTGTGACTATTTATTAGTTATTAGTGAAACCATTATCATAAGATCAGAGACATGAGAACATGGTACAATCACTTACTTGATATAAGTCAGGAATATAGATTGGTAGCAGAACATAATTTAAGCCAGAAAATGTGTAGTAATTATTTATTCACTTGGAAACACTTCTCTCCCCAGGTTACACTGGCTCCTGGAGAAATTGAGTGATCAACCAGAATCAACTTGAGCCCCCAATCTGGTCATCATAGGGCTCTGACGCCGCCATAACTTCTGTGTCTCTAGTGCAGAGGGGAAAATACCATCGAGAGAGGCCTTCAGACACTCCTGCAGATGGATAGTCAGTTATTCCCACACCATTTATTGAGTAGTCCATTCTTTCCTCAATACCTTGAAATCATACCACAGAACTATAAAAATAATGAATGAAAATAGGTGGACATAATTTTGTCATGTTAAGGAGGGGAAAGATTTTCAAAGCAAGGTATGAAACATTTGACTACATAAATATTTGAAACCTTTTATGGCAAAAGACAAAATAAATAAAATTAAAACGTAAATGACAGGCTTGGAGAAAATGTTTGCAAGAGAGAATGAAAAAGAAGAGTTCCCTAATATGCTGATAGTGTCCATAAATCAGTAAGAAAAAAATTTAAAAGGGGGCAAAAGACATGAACGGGCAGCTTAAAGATGAAGAAATGGAAATGGTTCACCATATGGAAGCATGATTAAAGAAATGAAAATTAAAACAAAAATGAGCTACCTTGTTATTTACCTTCTGCTTGGTACAGATCACAACGGTTGATAATATTTGTGTGGGCGAGCATATGGGGGAAAAGGGCTCTCGTCACTGTCAGTGAGCATGAAAATTGGCTCAGCCTTTGCAAGGGCGATTTGGCCTGTATTATTAGCCCACATTTCTGTAGCCTCTCTAGCTTATAATCTACTTATGCAGACTGCCTGTTTCTGACTTAATTCCCTATTTTTGTGTCTGCTTCCTTCTAGATGGTGATATTTGTGCTTCTCATCTCAGCCTGGTCGCCTGACCTTGACTCCAGAATTCTGTGATCCCTCCACAACTGCAAGTCATTCTCATACAAAACTTGAGTTTACCTAGTCTGCACCTTTGAGAGTTTGGGAACAATATGCAAGTTCAAGTCGCCATCATGTTGTCTTGCTGAATATCTCATGTAACAAGATCAATATTTTTGTTTCTTGCTTCTACCCTTGTTCTTCTGTCTGTTGCCCCCTCTACAGCTGTCAGTCACACACGTGGAGTCTTGCAAAAGCTGTTTGCCCTTTTTATATGTCCTGTGAATGTTGTCATTTGCTTCTCGTATATTACAAATTAGTGTTGTGTACCACTTAGTGATATAAAGCATTCAATAATTGTAAATTTGCATAAGTTTGGGTAAGAATAGCATCCAATCAAAAGGCAAAAAGGTAGATGATAGAAACAGATTCGAGACAAGTGAAGAGGGCAGGAAAGGTGATGTCTATTGCAAAAAAAAAAAAAAAAAAAAAAAAATGAGAGTTTTTGAAATGCTTGATAACAGTGGAACCAAGACCTCTGTAGGGCATATTTTTTTGGTGTTAGTGAATCTACAATTCATACAAGGAAGAAAAATGAGAAAGCTGTTAGGGCTAGTGAGTTGAAGGGCACACAGAAATAATTTAAAAAATCACACATAACTCGAAATGCCAAAATAGAGAAAATGGAAAGAGACTTGTATTTCTAGCTTCTAAAATAGAGAAGGCTGAATAGGCCTCTTTCTGTATATATAATCCACCAGCAGGCATCACAAAAATGCAAGTTTAAGTTTCAGTCTGGATGAAAAGTTATAATATTCATCATGAATAATGGGTGGTTGAGTAGGTTTAAGAAATGCTATGGTCTGTATGAAAAAAAATGGCTAGCAGAGGAAGGAGATCATGAAGCTGCTGCAGAGTATCCTGAATCCCTGGAGAAACTGAGGCTATTTGCCTGAAAAGGCATCCAGTGTGAGTGTATTACAGATGGCCCCCATTTGTAACAGTTTTAATGTGTTTCAGCATGGCCGGGCTTTAGACGTAGGCTAAGCCACGTCCCAGCCATGTGCATTTGTTTACTCTCAGTGACTGGTAAATACACACATTTACTAGACCTATTCAGTATAAATTTAAAATTACAGTAATACATATAGAAAACTTTTCTGTGAAATTAAACTTTTCATACACACTTAATTTTAAATATACAAACGTGTCTACCTAAGTAAAAACAGGTAAACTAAGTAATTTGTCAATTTTCTAACATATGCATTCAGAAAACCTACTTTATTACATAAAGGACTTTTGGCTTTAACGGGCACACCCTTGCCCAAATTAGTCCATTATATCAAGGTTTTACTGTACTGGTTTTTAAAGTGTTTTGTTCCTGAGGTTAAACAATATTTATACCAAAAAAATCTTGAATTCAAAGTGTTGCTGATTCTGGACGTTGCTTCCACTGACAAAAGTGCAATAGTAAGTGCTGATCCTTGTGTTAAAGTCATCTCCATCTCCCCCAGTGCAACAAGACTCCTTCAACCCATGCATCTGGGAGAGCTAAAAATGTTTCTGATATACTGTACTCGGGATATGTCTGACTGCCTTGCAGACCTTGTGAGAGAGACACCAGAACTTCCTGTGAAAGAAGCTTGGCAAAATTTCTCCATTTGTAACGCTTTAATGATAGAAGAACCAGCGAGAGAAATAAAATGATCAACCCCTAATGGAGCTTGGCAGAAACTTTGGAATGAGGTTGTAACTGATTCTGAAAGTTTCCTTCCAGTGGTAGAAGAAATTGAAAATATTTTAGCATCTGCAAAACCTTTAGGTGGTGAAAAGTTTGAAGACATTGAATTAAGTGTCATTGCCCAACTGTTAGAGTCCCACCCTCAGAAGATAGTTGAGAAATATTTCAGAGATGTGATCACACTGAAAGTTGATAAAAGAGGTAAGCAAAAGTTATCATGCAAAACTGGAAGAACATTGAAGTAACCACTCTGTAAATCAAAATGCCGTGATGATTCATAAGAAAGAGATCCTACGGTGGAATATTTGCTGACCTTCAGGTAAGGCTTAAATAATTACCCATAACCCTGTAAAGCAGTCATATGAAACTTTCAAACAAATGTCAATAAGTCTTTTCTCTCTGCTTGCTTCAACAGGGAGAAGAGGCTGGACTCTCTGGCCGTGTCATACAAACCCATTCTGCAAGCAGCAGGCAGAAAAGCTGGGCACAGATAGCTGACCTTTGGGGTTCAGACTCCGACCAGGCCTGGTGGGGTGGCGATCCGTGTGCCAGAGGATGAAAGTGGAGCAGAAGGCAGAGCTTGCTTATCTCCAGACAAAATCCAATTTTCTCAGTTTTTTTCCTATCACTACTGTGATGACCAGCATTTTCACGGATGCGTGATTGTCCTCACCTTGAGATCAGAAGGAAATAGAAATTAATTGCCTAATAATCACTATTGCTAATGTAAATTTAGTAAAATGCCATCAAGATTCACTTTTACCTAGTGTTTTATTTCTGTGAACAAACCAATTTTCTGAGCTTTGATAATACTCCTTTCCCTGCCCCAATTTTCCCCCCAAAGCTCATAAATTCCTCCAACACAAATTCCCCTTCAATGAGGGTTTTAGGAGTAGATTCCAATACCTAGGGAGGGGGCTACTCTATTTGGTTGGACAATTTGATTTTGTACTCTTGATCCTGAAATTTATTTTAGTTCTCTTTAAGCCCAACTATCTCAATAGAAAGTATCGAAACCTTTTCCTTTTAACTAGTTTGATATAAATTAATTTGTTTTTCAGCAACTGTATAAGGTTGATCCGGAAAGGCAGTATATTTAAAATGAATTCCTGGATTGGCTTTGGTACCTAATTGGGGAGGAGATGTGGCTCGAGTTTATTGCCAACAATCTGTCTTCTCACATCTCATCTTCTCAGTGATTTGAACAGTTAAATATCCTCCAAAAAAGATATTGATGCTTCCTCTTCCCTAAAGGTGGTGGAAATCCAATACCCCCCTGCCCCCTTCCCCGACGTGGAGTCTGAATTATAGGCGGCCTATATCTGAGTTTGCAGTGATCAGGGGAAAGGGGGAAAATGTGAACGTTAAAAGGGCTCGCTTACCTGGTTACAGCTGGATGGCGGCCATTCCTCAAAAGAGAAAGATGAGAGTAGAAAACCCATTATAATGTTCTTTGGAGCTAGTGACTTGTCACAGTGCTGAGAAGCTTACATTCTGCTCTAAGCCACAGTGATTCTCAACACTAACTGCACATAAAACCCACGACAGGGAGCTTTGGAAAAAATACAGGTTTCTGGGTCCTGCCTCTAGGTATGCTGAATCATGAATGGGGACAGCATCTGTATATTTTGAAAGTTTCTCAAGTGATTTTTTTAATGTAGTCATGATGGCAAGCCACTGCTCTAAATCTAAACAAAATTATTATATAAAATATAATACAAATGGTATGGACCCGGGAGCTAGGAAACCTTGATTTCAAGTTTCTGCTCTACCGCTAGGTCAATGGATGGTCTTAGTCAAATCACACTCCTCTTGCCTTATCTGTCAGATGAGAGAATAGGACCACTTGGTCTCTAAAGCCCATTCATTGAAATTGCTGCCTTGGCAATTTTTTTCTCTTAATTTGACCAGAATTAGAGAAATCAAATTTTAAATTAAACCAGAAACTGTGAATATAGAATAATGCAGTGGGCCCTGGTGGTGTGGCTCAGTGGTTGGAGCGTCAGCCATAGACCAAAGGGTCTTGGGTTCGATTTCTGGTCAAGGGCACGTACCTGGGTTGTGCCTGGGTTACAGGCTGGATCCCCGGCCTCAGTTGGGGTGCATGCAGGAGGCAACCAATCAATGTCTCCCTCTCACATCGATGTTTCTCTCTTTCTCTCCCTCTTCTACTCTCTCTGAAAAGCAATGGAAAAAATATCCTCTGGTGAGGATTAAAAATAATCTAAGAAGTCTACTTAGCGGGGGTCTACTTAGAGGGTAAATGATAGACCATTTTAATATGATTAAATTGAATATGTCAGCAGAACTTACAGGAGGATGTGAAAGTTGGGATAGACTATGTGGTAGAAATGGAAGTTAGTGATGACAACGCTGCCATGGAAACAGGTGTTTCTTTTTTTAAAGTTGAGAATAGTCCTCAAAATTGAAAAGTTAAAATTTCTTCTATTATATTTTACATACAGTTTGAGAGGAAAGAATCTGTTGTTAAATGGTTCAGGTAAAATTTTGTGTTCAATATTATGAAGTACATGGCATTTTCCTCCTTTCCACACATATTTAACAACTGGCAGAAAGACAAAGTGGGCGGGGAGGGAGAAAGGGCAGTCCAAGTTGCTGAAATTTGTAGAAAATATTAGAAAACTGGCATTACATTTTAAAAGAGTCTTTTTGTTTGTTTAAAATCTCTTAAATTCAAAATGTAGAGAAAGCTCTTTAAACTGGACTTTGGATTACATAGCTCCCACCACCTGAATGCTAATAAAGGGCTTTTACAGTGTATATAGTCTAAAAGAGTGTGTGAATTATGTTTGTGTTGTGAAATACATTGATCACTGAACTTTACATAGTACTATTACCTTTTAATAGCCTTTGAAATCAGTGTGTTCTGGTTGTTTATCTAAGAATTCAGAAATATGATGTGCTATGAGCAAAGTGTGTATGTATTTGGAAACCATAAAATCAAAGAGAAACTAGATGAAAGGATAGTGTATTTCATTAGCATGAACAACAAATACTAAGGAATTAAATATGAGCCTGGTAGGCTTGAGACATCACACTTCATCTTTCTGGCATTATAACATATAGCCTAAGATATAATTAACCCATCGTAACAAACACCTAACGTTGGCTCTTGATTAATTGGCAGTGGTATGATGGGTGCAATAAAGAGAAGAACATGGCTGGCTTCTTGTGTGCCCTGGGCTAGGACTCTCTCTTTTGGG